TCCCTCATATACACTATACTCCCTGCCCCCTTCCTCCATCACCCTCCCTACCTAACACACCTTCAATCACCCTCCCTACCCAACACTCCCTCCCTCACTAACCCTCTCTAGCTAACACTCCTCCCCCACCCTTCCTCCCTCCCTCACCCGCCCTACTCTGACCTCGCCCTCTGCTACTTCCATCTTCCCATTTTCCATAACAAGGGTGGGGGAAATACCCGTAGATTTTTGTGGGTGGTACAGGGAGGGTGAGAGAAGCTCACGGACGTACCCTGTACTCGGGGACAACTTGACCTGACCTTACCTAACGCGATCTACCGGTAACGGAAATCTAACCTAACCTAACCTAACCTAACCTAACCAAACCAAACCTAACGTAATTTGACCTGATCTAACGGTAACCTAATTTAACCTGATCTACCACTAACGCTAACCTAACTTAGCCTAGATAGGAGGCAGCTATCAAACAAGGAGGTACTACCACCTGGGAAAATATTGGAAGCATAATGTGTTGTCTAATGGAAGATCCTGCTGCCATATGGCGTCACAAAAATTGTGACCAGGTCCCAGGTTGCTGATTTGACTCTGCCTCATTTACACACAATTGCAGGTTTCACAACATACATACTGTATATCGTTTCTCACTCTTGATTTATTATTTCGTTTTTGTATTTATTTATGGTTATTATTATTATTTTTTCTATTTTTATTATTATTATTATTATTATTATTATTATTATTATTATTATTATTATCATTATTATTATTATTATTATTATTATTATTATTATTATTATTATTATTATTATTATTATTATTATCATTAGTACTATTATAATACCCCACCTCCAGGCCGTGATGTGGGTCAGTGACCTGTGCTCGTTGCTAATCCCCAAAAAAATATAGCCTAACCTGACTCTAACCTAACCTAAGTCAGTTCATTGAATTAAAACTTCACGCCCAAGACAACACACTTCTTCACGACGGTGTATGATGAGTGCACACACGCGTATCCTCCCGTCTCATTGGTACACACACACACACACACACACACACACACACACAAGAGCACCATCACAAAACAACTAGAGAGAGAGAGAGAGAGACACACACACACCACATCACAAAACAAATACAACAAAGAGAGAGAGAGAGAGAGAGAGAGGAGAGAGAGAGAGAGAGAGAGAGAGAGAGAGAGAGAGAGAGAGAGAGAGAGAGAAACACACACAAAATACAAATACAGTACCCCCTAATTTTCCACTTCAGAAACATTGGCCATTCGGGAGTCAGCGACACACAGAGTTCATATTGCAGCAGCCATCACAAACCCCATCAGCCTGTTAACGGCCTCAATTAAAGCCGTTTATCGTCTAGCTAACCCGGCTTTGATGCTTCTAGTTAATAGGAGCGGAGTGAGGGTAGCGCTGCACGGGTCATTGTCCACTAGTAGAAACCCTATTGTTTATCGTGTGAGCGGGGGGGTGGGGGGGTGGGGCTGGTGTAGTGGTGTGGGGTGGAGGTGGGAAGGGTGAGGTAGGGTAAAGGGGTGGGTGGGGTGGGTGAGGGGGTGACGGGACGGTGTGGGTGGAGGGTGGTAAAGGGTGAGGGGTGGTGTGGGTGGTAAAGGGTGGTGTGGGTGGTGAGGGGTTGAGGGGACGGTGTGGGTGGTGAAGAGTGAGGGGTGGTGTGGGTGGTGAAGAGTGAGGGGTGGTGGTGTCGTTGATGGTGTAGGTGGTGGTAGGGGTGGTGAGGGGATGGTGTGGGTGGTGGTGTGCAGGTGTAGGTAATGAAGTGATGGTGTGGGTGGTGAGGGGATGGTGTGGATGGTGAAGGGTGAGAGGATGGTGTGGGTGGTGAGTAGGCGGTGAAGTGACTTATGCGCCACACTGTATAGGAACATTTGGAACACCCTATAGAGTACAGTTTGGTGTGAGAAAACATCGTGAAAAATGGTTGGGATAATGAATGTGTAGAAGCTAAATAACAAATAAATACGGTGTGTGTGTGTGTGTGTGTGTGTGTGTGTGTGTGTGTGTGTGTGTGTGTGTGTTTGTGTGTGTGTGTGTGTGTGTGTGTGTGTGTGTGTGTGTGTTTAAGTAAATGAAATGAGGGGAGGAAGGGAGAAGGGGGGAAAGAGAGGAGAGGGGGAGGAGGGAGAGGGGGAGGAGGGAAAGGGGATAGGAGGAATGGGGTAGAGGGAAGGGGTAGGGGGAGAGAGGGGGTAGGAGTAAGGGAGAAGGGAGGAGAGGGTAGGTAGAGACCCAGATGTGCACAGGCGTAGTGATTTCCTGTTTTCTTTTTGCTGTAGGTCAACTTAATCCCCTGTCTTAATAGGCCTCATGTTTATTGGGCCTAACCTAACCTAATCCAGCCTAACCTAACCTAACCTAACCTAACCTAACCCAACTCCATCATATAACGTTAGGGGGTGTAATCATCAGGTGAAATAAGCCAATCGTCAGGTAATCCGGACTTGTAAATTAGCCACGTTTATTTTTACTCGGCCACAGGTCAGGCGAGGTCAGTGATAACAAGTGGCTCTCTCTCTAATTACACGGGTCAGTAGTGGGCTAACTACCGTGGGCAGGACCATTACGACGGCCCATGACACGCTCAGCTGAGCCACCCTGGCCAAATAGACCCCCCCAAAAATGCTCATTATTTACCCTAGTTGGCAACACTTATTCTGTGTCAATAGTTTTATGTGCGATGTTTATTTTTATTGGAGGGGGGAGATAGGGTGAGGGGAGATAGGTGGAGGAGAGGGGAGATAGGTGGAGGAGAGGGGAGATAGGTGGAGGAGAGGGGAGATAGGTGGAGGTGAGGGGAGATAGGTGGTGAGGGGAGATAGGTGGAGGAGAGGGGAGATAGGTGGAGGAGAAGGGTGATAGGTGGAGGTGAGGGGAGATAGGTGGAGGAGAGGGGAGATCGGTGGAGGGGGCAGGGGAGATCGGTGGAGTGGGCAGGGTGAGAAGGACGGAGGAGAGTAGGGAGGTGGGAGGGAAGGATGGAGGTGGGAAGGATGAAGGTGGGAGGGAGGAAGGGGGAGAAGGATCAAGATTGGGAGGAAGGGAAGAGAAAAATATTGGATGAAGATTGGAGGGAAGTGGGAGGAAAGAAAGGAGAGAGAGGGAGAGAAGAAAGGAGAGAGAGGGAGAGAAGAAAGGAGAGAAAGGGAGGGACAGAGGAAAGGAACGAGAGGAAAAGAGAGTTATTGTTTAGTCAAATCTACTCTTACTACAGGAACTGGGGACAATATTTGCGTTAAATGTCAAGTGACTACTACCTCATTAACCACAGCAGGACAAGATAGTAGTTTACTTCCCCAAAACTGCCATAAGAGGGTGTTACAAGTCCTACACACTTCAGTACATAACGCAGGGCTATAACACACGTCATTCAAGTGTAATGCAAATGATATGAATAGTCTTGGGATATTATCTGATGAAAAAGGTAATTGAACGCTAGTAAGGAAAAAAGTCCCACTGTAAAAAAAATAGTAAATTAAATGACGATTAGCCACTCCAGCTTAATTTACCTGGTTATTAAGCCACCTAAAGCTACCTGGAGGGGGCGGTTATGTTAAGCTAGTTTCAAGGTGTTTAATAGTTAGGTGAAATAAGCTGGAGTTTGCAACCATCACATGATCCATAGAAATAATTACGTCCCCAAAACATGACATCTACACAATACAAAAAGCATAAATTAAATTACAACTCTCCGGACACTTTCAGTAGCATCTACTTTCTCTACTCACCCATAGTTAAAGACCATATCTGTTATGGTCCAGAAACAAGGGGACACCCAAAATCACAGCGGGGAGAGAAAGTCTAGAACTACCGGTACAATTTTCACGTTTGGGCAGCCTTGCAGGAGAGGATTGTTTTGGGCGGTTGTGGTACGGGGCCGACACCCTCTCCTCCGCGCCACCACCAGAGAAAGTGGGAACTAACCTCCCATCCCAGCCCCGCGCTCTGGCCCGCCGCTACAAGATTAGATAAGGATGGAGAACAGGTGATTATAAACTTGTAGTACTTTCATTCGGTGATCAGGAAAAGATTGGTGATTCCTTTGATGCTTGGAGAACCTGGAGGAAGGCTTGGAAGTAGAAAACAAACCCGGTGAGCTTCTTGGGAACGTCTGAACGTCTCTTAAACATTGGGCACGGTGAAGGTCAAGCCGGCCAGTTTACGACGGGAATGAATAAGATTATATGATCGTATCTCACTTACGACCCGGATTCTAAACCGCTAGTAAATTAAGTTTTCCGTTAAACTCGAATTATAAAAACGCATGAACTTGTTAATTTAAGCTAAGGAATAAATATTTCAATCAATTTTATCGACATATTTTACCGAGAGAATAAACCGTAATGAGATGACGTCTTATCTTACCTCAAGTCAGATGTGAGAGACTGATGGAAAATTCTGAGAGACCTGGACTGTTGTTACCGTACAGGCCTCACTGATACACACCATAACACACCTGAGGATAACAGTAGAGTAAGTAGTTGCACACCTGTTGTAAAGGAATGAGCAAGAGTGACATTAAGTATATGTATTAATTTATAGGAAAAATCAATTATATTAATTTTAAAATATTTCCGAAAAAATTAAGAAATATTAAAAATTGCCCCCAAAAAAGGAGAAATAATTCGGTTTTCTTCTCTATTTAGTTGTCTGTCTGTCTGTCTGTCTGTCTGTCTGTCTGTCTGTCTGTCTGTCTGTCTGTCTGTCTGTCTGTCTGCCTATAATGTTTGTATCAACGTGAGAGTCAGTCCAGATCATCACATAAGAGAACTATTATTGGGGTTTGTTCATCTGTACTCGTTAATTACACCGCAGGGGTTAGGACACAGCAGGCATTAGGACACAGAACAGGTTAGGACACAGAAGGGGTTAGGACATAGAAGGGGTTATAACACAGAACAGGTTAGGACACAGCAGGGGTTAGGACATAGAAGGGGTTATAACACAGAACAGGTTAGGACACAGCAGGGGTTAGGACACCAGACATATGACAGAGAGGGCATTAGGGACACAGCAGGGGCTGGGGACACAGCAGGCTGGGGACACAGCAGGGTTGGGACACAGCAGGGCTGGGACACAGCAGGGGTTGGGACACAGCAGGGGCTGGGACACAGCAGGGGCTGTACTGCTGGCAGGGTTGGGACACAGCAGGGGCACACAGCAGGGCTGGGGACACACAGCAGGGGCTGGGGACACAGCAGGGGCTGGGACACAGCAGGGCTGGGGACACAGCAGGGCTGGGGACACGCAGGGGCTGGGGACACAGCAGGTGCTGGGGACACAGCAGGGGCTGGGGGACACACAGCAGGGGCTGGGACACACAGCAGGGGCTGGGACACAGCAGGGCTGGGGACACACAGCAGGCTGGGGACACAGCAGGGGCTGGGACAACAGCAGGGGTTGGGACACAGCAGGGGTTGGGGACACAGCAGGGGCTGGGACACAGCAGGAAGCTGGGGACACAGCAGGTGCTGGGGACATAGCAGGCTGGGACACAGCAGGAATTAGGGACATAGCAGCAACACACAGTAGGTATTATAACAACAGGCATTAGGGACACAGCAGAATGCTAGGGACACAGCAGTGCACGCAAGACACAGGATTATAGCACAAATAGTACTTCCTGACACAGCAGGAATTAGGGACACAGCAGGAATTAGGACACAGCAGTAATTAGGGTAGGTATTATAACAAACAACTACAGTACACAGCAGGCATTAGGACACAGTATAGTATTAGGACACACAGCAGGCATTAGGACACAGCAGGCATTAGACACAGCAGGTACAGGACAGCAGCAGCAATTAGGACAGGTATTATAGCACAACAGGCATTAGGACACAGCAGGAATTAGGACACAGCAGGCATTAGGACACAGCAGGCATTAGGACACAGTAGGATTATAGCACAACAGGCATTAGGACACAGCAGGAATTAGGACACAGCAAGCATTAGGACACAGTAGGCATTAGGACGCAGCAGGCATTAGGACGCATCAGGCATTAGGATGCAGCAGGCATTAGGACGCATCAGGCATTAGGACACAGCAGGGGATGGGACAGAGCAGGTGTTGGGACTCGGGTTAGACTAATGACCGAGGCGTCCAGGTGTTGCTCTGAACTACACATATACTTGTTTGGTCCCACACCATCACAGCCGCCCACTTCCTTCCGGACGCCCCCGGAACTACGGCCCTGCCTCCGACGACAGCGGCCGGAAGACGAAAGGAGGTGGAGGAAGAAGAGGAGGAGGTGAGGAAGAACGCTGAGGTGAGGAGGAGGTGACATGCAAAGAAAGGAAACAAAGGAAGAAGGAGATGGGTGGTGACAAAGAGGAGTAAAAAGAGATGAGGAAAGAAGGAGGAGAAAGGGGATTAAGGACGTAGAAAGACTGAGGAGGAACAGTAAGGAGGAAAGAAGAGGGAAGAGAGGAAGGAGGAGGAATGCAGAGGGAGGAAGAGGAGGATGTAGAATGCAGAGGAACGAGGAGGAAGGCAGAGGAGGACTAGGAGGTGGAGTAAGAAGGCAGAGGAAACAGGACTAGGAGGAAGAGGAGTAAGAAGGAAGGAGGAGGAAGAAGGCAAAGGGAGGACGTATGGATAAGAGGAGTAAGAAGGAAGGAGGGAGGAAGGCAGAGGAAAGAGGAGGAGCAGGAGGAGGAGGAGGAAGGCAAAGGAATGAGGAGGAAGAGGACAACAAGAGAGAAGGCAGAGGAAAGAGGAGGAGGACTAAGAGGAGGAGTAAGAAGGCAGAGGAAGCAAGACTAGGAGGAAGAGAAGTAAGAAGGAAGGAGGAGGAGGAAGACAAAGGAAAGAAGAAGAGGAAGGCAGAGGGAGTGAATCATCCCCTCGGGTATTTCAACTCCAGCCGACTCTTTACAGCTGGAGAAGACGTCACTGCAAACGGACGATGACGACGATTAATGACGACGACGGAGGATGACGGACAATTATGGACGACGACGGACGATTAATGATGACGACGGACGATTAATGACGATGACAGACGATAAATGACGACGATGGATAATAACGGACGATTAATGATGGCGTTATCCGTGGCACTGAACAGCCCAATACTCAGAAACAAAACAGACACAGACAGACAGGCAGACAGACAGACAGGCAGACAGACAGACAGGCAGACAGACAGACACAATAATGCATAACAATTTCAACTAGCTCATTGATTTTGTGGAAATACATTTATCACTTTACCAATCATCAAATCAAGTTACTCAGGAGGAGAGAAAGAAGGAAAGATAGAGAAAGAGAGATAATATCATAAATAAAGAGACAAATTAGGAACTGATATTATCTCTTTCTTTCTGTTTCACTGTCACTTTTCTGTTTCCCCCTCCTTTCCTCACCCTCCTCCTCTTCCGTTCTCCTCCTCCCTCCCTCCCCCTTCCTCTTCTCTCCCCCTCTATCTCTCCCTCACCCTCCTCCTCTGCTCTCATTTCTGCAAGAGCTTCACATCTCCTCATTTTACTTGACCACGTGCTATTCAATCCAACTTCATTCATCAAAAACACCCACACACACACACACACACACACACACACACACACACACACACATTCAGCTCTCATCACCCTCATTCACCCACCACCCATTCATCACATCCTGTTGTTATTCAGCTTCACTAGTCCTTGTTTTTATAATTTTATCCATTCACTGCATCTTTCACCTTAATTAATTATATATATATGTATTTTTTTTTACATTAGTTATTCCTTCATTATCACTTTCTTATTTCTTCCTGTTTTTCGCTTTTGAGAATCAATTTCCTGTGTATTTTTTTTCTGAGTTGTGTTTCTCTCGCCGTACTCAAGGGGTTAAGTTAACGTGTTCAAGGGTTAAGTTATCGTACTCAAGGTGTTAAGTTAACGTGTTCAAGGGTTAAGTTATCGTACTCAAGGGGTTAAGCTGTCGTACTCAAGGGCTTAAGCTATCGTACTCAAGGGGTTAAGTTATTATACACAAGGGGTTAAGTTATCGTACTCAAGGGGTTAAGTTATTATACCCAAGGGGTTAAGTTATCGTACTCAAGGGGTTAAGTTATCGTACTCAAGGGGTTAAGTCATTGTACTGAAAGGGTTAAGTTACTGCACTTAAGGGGTTAAGCTATCGTACTCAAGGGGTTAAGTTATTATACTCAAAGGGTTAAGTTATTATACTCAAAGGGTTAAGTTATCGTACTCAAGGGGTTAAGTCATCATACTCAGGAGGTTAAAGATATCGTACTCAGGGATTAAGTTATCGTACTCAAGAGGTAAACACAACATTAGAGTAAGCTAAAAAAGTCTATATTTAGAATCAATTGCTTAAGGCAATGTTAGCTGGGGTCTAACGTGAAATAAATTATATTAAGGTAAAGTTAAAACAAGTAAGACTTAAAGAAGATTCAACATTTATTCAGTTAATAAAGGTCAGATATAGATTAAGTTAATATAGGTTAGATATAGATTAAGTTAATATAGGTTAGATATAGATTAAGTTAATATATAGGTTAGATATAGATGAAGTTAATATAGGTTAGATATAGATTAAGTTATAGGTTAGATATAGATTCAGTTAATATAGGTTAGATATAGATTAAGTTAATATAGGTTAGATATAGATTAAGTTAATATAGGTTAGATGTAGATTCAGTTAATATAGTTTAGATATAGATTAAGTTAATATAGGTTAGATATAGATTAAGTTAATACAGGTTAGATATAGATTCAGTTATAGGTTAGATATAGATTTAGTTAATATAGTTTAGATATAGATTAAGTTAATATAGGTTAGATATAGATTCAGTTAATATAAGTTAACGCTAAACCATATAAATTAAACCTAAGACGTGATTAAAGTTAAAAGCCGGAGTCAGAACTGTATCTGGTTAAAGCCCTGAGTTAAAAGACCCGGGGAGACGCCCTTAACCCGGCAGGTGCATTACTAAGAAGCAGCACAGGTCACTTATGATGACTAAGGGGGGGGGGGATAGGGGATTGAGAGGGAAATGGGGTTGGTCGAATGGGTAGGAGGGAGGGAGAAAGATAGGAGGTGTAGGAAGAGGAGGATGAGGAGGGGAAGAGGAGAAATATTGAGGAAAGGGAGAGATGAACGAAGGAAGGCGGAGGGGGAGAGGAAGGGGTGGCTGTAGGAAGAAGGAAAGAGAAAGAGGGGGAAAGGGGCAGAAAGGAGAAACGGGTGATGAAAGAGTGAGAACGGAGAAGGATGAACGGAGGAAGATATAAATGATTGGGGTAAGAGAAGGGAGAGAAAGAAGAAGGAGGAGAGGGGGGGGGTAAGGGGTCAAGGAAGAAAGGACGGAGAGAAAGGAAAAGGAAGGATATGTTCTAAGGTATATGGACTTCCTTGGTGTTAGATCATCCTCTCCCTCTCTCCCTCGCTCCCTCGTATCTCACTCACCCAATTCTCTTTTTTACGAGTGTTCAACTTCCTCTCTCTTCTATCTCCTCTCTTTCTCTTTTCCAGTGCTCCTCAGCTTCCTGCTCGTCCCTGCTGTCACCATCCTCCTCCTGCTTTCCCTGCTGCCACCTTCCTCCTCCTGCTTGTCCCTGCTGTCACCTCTCTTCCCTTCCTGTTTGTCTCTACTGCCACCTTCCTCCTGCTGCTTGTCCCTGCTGCCACCTCCACCCTCCTTGCTTCTTCCTGCCTCTTCCTCCTCCTCCCCCCCCCCCTTCGTCACGGCAGCCCCGCCAGCACCGTCGCCTCAGGGCTGGGTGGAGGACACAAGACATGATTGCTCAGATTTTACGCTTCCGCCTTCAGCATCCGGTTAAGATCGAACGGCCGGTGTGGCACGGATTTATGGGGGCGAATATCCGGTCGTGTGAAAAAAAATAAAAAAAAGGTGAATGGCGGAAGGATGACTGTGGTGAGCATGAGGTGTCTGACGAGGATGATGACGATGGTGGTGACGACGAGGAGCGACGGAGGTCTTGCTGAATGGAAGGAAATCATGAATGAAGGTGTCTCGGATGAAGTGGGTCAGGAGCGGTGTTGGGGATCTTGGGGGTGTGCGTGTGGCGGAGCGGGACGGAAGGACAGCGCTTTCCTTCCTTCCTCCTCCTCCTCCTGCCGCAGGGATACCATCATCACCCTCCTGCCGCAGACACACCACCACCACCCTCCTCCTCCTCCTGCAGGGACACTACCAATATCCCCTTTCAGCCGCAGGGACACCACCACCACCCTCTTCTTCCTGCCGCAGGGACACCACCACCACCCTCTTCTTCCTGCCGCAGGGACAAAAATGTGTCGTGCAGTTTGTATATCTCACGCTGCTCTTCTCTTCCCACGCTGCGATTAACTTAAACGTTGGGTTTTTGCCTCTGATCCTGAACACCTCGGGCAGGAGACCGTGCAGCTGCCCCTCGTGTTAATGTGGCAGCAACCGAGCACCCAGGACCAAGCACCCAGGACCTAGCACCCAGGACCTAGCACCCAGGACCTAGCACCCAGGACCTAGCACGCAAGACCTAGCACCCACTTTGCAACT